ACGAACTAAGGCTAACAGCGGGACCCAACTGGAGAAGAGTGGCCCGCGACAGAATTCAATGGAGACAGCTAGAGGAGGCCTTTGCCAAAAGACACACTGAATTAAGAGATATACTGTAACCTTTTTGTAACAACTCGTAATGTAAAAATTCAGAATAAAGGGCTTTATTATTTATTATAATAGGGTAATTGCTTAAATTTTATTTTAATGTCCGTCTGGTACATTAATTTAAAACTTTATACACGTATTTTTTCTTTTTTCATAAAATTACATAAATGCTTTCGACGATATATTGATTTGAAATGTCGCGTGACGTCACAGCGTGCTGCAAAATGTACCGCGTTGTGACGTAACTACCTCCGACACCTAAACTTAACGCCATTTTATTTAAGTATTGTAACTTTATACGAGAAAATAAAAAAATACGTGTCTAATGTTTTTACATTATCTAACTGACGGACTAATTAGATTTTTAGTTTTCATTCCCTGGCAACTATCCTATTGTTTAATAAACTATTGACCGCACGGTTGGCGCTGAGATTGGGTGAGTGGCTGCTGTGCAACTTGTTGCGGGTTCGAGTCCCACGCCGGCCAAAAAGTGATAGTAGCATTTTCTGAAAAAAATTACCATTACTAGCCCGGAGTCAGGAAGTTCGGCGGTGTTTCACCCCCGTGTCTTGGAAAGCACATAAAGCTGTTGGTCCTGCGTCTGACCTCTCTCCGGTCGTGTCGGTCTGCCGTCCCATCGGGTTCAGAGAGTGAGGGGAAGAGAGTGTGCACCTGTGTTTGCGCACCCACTTGTGCACTATATAATATCTCCTGCATAATGGGTTAGTCTAGTTAGACAGACTGGCCACCATGATCGTAATCGATCGGGAGATTTATTATAACAAACTATGTTTATAGAAACCGACTTCAATCCCTAATTTTTTGAAGTTGATTAATTAATATATTAAAACATTTTCCTTAGGGCCGATTTTTCGATGCGCTGATAAATTTTAACTGAGGATTAACTTGTCAATTTATTCTACAGTTAAGAATTAACTGATGATTGAAAAATCGGCCCTTAGAGTAACAAACACTTTTCTGAAAACCGCATCAAAATCGATTCAGTCAATCGTGAGATAATCGCACAAACAAACAAACATCCATACATAGGTACAGGTCACATTGTAAATCTCCTTTTTGTTTTTAAAGGCGAGTAATAATATAGGTAGGTATTATAGAACAAACCGAAACATAACTCATTTAAAACTACTCACACGAAATATGTATTATCCACACTTACATCATTCGAAAATCAAATCATAGAAAATTATTCGCACATTACCTTTACTGTTACAACCCTACAATGGTACAACATGGGCTATTTACGGCCGTGAATTATACCAAGGCTACAATGATTCATAATTTCTGTTCGAGAAATTCGAATTTCATATGAGTAGCTTTAAATACACATTAATAGCCTCTATTGTTGTACTATTACGACTTAAATTAGCTTTTACATGTTTCGTGGAAAGGTGTTCAATATAGCGTTCTGATTCTGTTGTAAATTTTTGAAGATTGGAGAATACAAAATGATTTTTAAAAGTTGGTACAATAATATTGTAGAAAGATCAAAGCATTTTTAGATGTAACTTAGTAAGTAGATAACTGTATAAATATTTTCTAAACATTTAAACATTTCTTAATATTTTCCCAGGCGGGAGCAGTCATTCGATGATTTCCCCCCTTAAAAAAAATCTTATTAAATTGTCTGAATTAGCTAGACAATGTATGTCTAATCAATGTATGTCTTTAATAAGATTTTTTTAAAGGGGGAAATCATCGAATGACTGCTCCCGCCTGGGTGAGGCGGAAGGGAGTGTCAGACTCTTACTGACTAAAAACCACCCCGTTTCTTCTCCTGCGCATCGAGCTGGAGCCCCGGTTACCCGTTAGGTTCTCCGCGACAGAAAATAAGCTTTGTCTCGATTTAAAATTAAAAAAAATGCATAGTATCACTAGAAAACGATACTTTACCTACTATCTGAAAAATCCTATTCTAATTTAATAATATCTATTGTATGATATACTAAATTAACTATAAATCGCGGGTTACTCAAGTGAGTATACTGAGAGAAGCTCTACTAGTTTCGAGTCACAGAGGGGCTTCCTGATGAGCGGAGTGCGCGGTCATCGCCGGGATGTCGCGCAACCTACTAGTAAAGCTTTTCTTATACACTCACGTGAGTAACCTGCGATTTGTAGTTAAACCTATTTAGATCTCAAATAATCCCTGACGATAAAATAGTACTCACCAAAAATTGTACAATGTTTTTGTTACAATGTTAAAAAAAATCAAAGCACACCACTAAACGCTATTCAACCAGAAAACGCTCAAACAAAAAAAAACCCAAAAGCAAAGCAATTTAAGGCAAAGCGATTAGATTAACGATTTTCTAATCTGTAATTTATTATGGCCCGTACCGTGGCCGGTCCGGGCCGGACTTCCTACGGTTCCGGTGCCGTGGCAGCACTATGTAGTTCCACTACTCCTTGTTAAAACCGTGTTTTGAAACAGAGCCGGACAACGCGCATATTTATGAAGGAAGTTCACAAAGTCGTATTCGTAATTTGTTTGCATCAAATCTGACTTGTTATGTCCCGAGTGCTAGATAAAACATAGCTACTTAAAAATGAATTCTAAGAATATTAATTTAAAGTTGAAATTATGTTGCATGGTAGGGTAATGCATGATGTGGATAATAGTGTAACATAGGTGTACGATTTTTATTATCATGCCTATATATAGGGTAGATGACTAATTTTTATTTTAATGTCCGTCTGTTATATTTGTATTGGTTATTTTCATACAGAAACGAATACTTTTGACGAAATATTGATTTGAAATGTCGCGTGACGTCACTTATATGTCCATTTTATACGTAAGTAGAAATGACATTTTAGCCCCCCACTTTTTTCTTTTACCGAAAATCATGAACGGAAACAAAACGGGATTGCACGTACGAAGTCGCAGGCAGTATATATATATAGGCTAGTATATATTAAAACAAACAATAAATTCTAAATTATTCACAAACAAACACAACTACAAATCTGAATATTTTATTTCTAACAGTTGATATTTCAATAATAACAAAACGAATGCAAACAAAGTGAACAACATTTACATGTTAAACAAATATTTTGTTTGTTCAACGTAAATCGGGGACAACAATGGCATTGTGTGCCGAACTAATTTTTTTTTTTTGAAGAAAAATTTAGTTGCCTACGATTTTATTTTCGCATTCTATTTTAGGAACGCAATTTGCAGTATATTTAGATGCCACCTTATTTTTACGACCGTTTCCAACAAACGTAGGAATTGGGCTACCAAAATCTAGTATTGTTAGACATTTGTTTATGAAATAATTAAATAATTTCATTTATTTTTTTATTTTGACTAGCATCTGCCCGCGTCTTCGTACGCGCAATTCTGTTTTCTCCCGTTCCCGTAGGATTTTCAGGAAGGGTTTTCCCGGCAATTATTCGATTTTTTCTCGACGTAAGAACTATCCTTGGACTTCAACGAACATCTTAAAAAAAGAATTGGCCAAATTGGTCCAGGCGTTGTTGAGTTATGCGCTTACCAACACATTTTGCGATTCATTTTTATATTATAGAATTATGAATTTTGAAAATGAAGTATTCAATCACGAAATTTCTCCACCTCTGCCTACCCCCTCGGGGATAAAACGTGTGATGTTATGTAGTTACTCATGCAATATCTACATTCATCGGTCGATTACCACTATTATTACATAAACATAAAAAAAAAATTTAATTCCTTAGTTTTATAAAAATAAAACTTGTGTTTGACCATCATCTGTCGGCGTTTTTCGGGAGCGTACCGTGTACACGCAATGTTATATAATATTTTTTTTTAACATTAGGATTTTCTCCTGTGTCGTGGGTGCGTTTACAAACATACAAGTTCACATACACATGACATCCAGACCCAAAACAAAAATTTGTGGATCACACAAAGTGTTGTTCCGGGCGGGAATGGAACCCGCGACGCGTTCTACGGCAGTCTAATTACAGCCAACCATGCAGTCTAATTCTTTACAGTATGTAATATATCCATATTACAAGCAGTTATCTCTAGAATACTATGTTAGCAGCAGTTGTCATACGCACGATTTAAACTGTCATAACGAAGAGGCTCTTACTCAAAAGTTTGACAACGGGTGTCGCCCAAAATGTAACAGATGCTCCCTAGATGACCTAGATTTTGTTGGAAAACTTAGGTATATAGTGTCTCTGTAGTAGGAAGTTTGAAAGTTGTTCGGTTGTATGGTGGAAATAAATGCGTTTGCATTTTGTTATATGTATTTAAGGAGATAAATCTTTAAGAACACCTTATACTGTCAAACACCGCGAGGACACCGGTGACCGCAACCTATTGTTCTTTAATTGTGTCTATAATGACGGCACTCAAAGGGTTAAAATGTAAACGAATAAAATAGATGGCGTCTTGATGAAATATTTTTCTTATTACTCATAGAAAGCACGGGTTCCTACACGGTTCCGACACGGCGTTTTTTGCTTTGGATACAATACAAATGGGTTGGAAGCGCGCTGGCGGCTGCGTGGGATTTTTATGGAATAAGGCGGTAAAATGGTAAGCAATCAGCGTCGCCCAGAGGAATACCAGAGGCGTTACAAGTGCCTTACCGGCCTTTTTAAATTCGAAATTTAGGATTGTTGGGCATTCACAAGCATTGGGGAAAGGAGGGGGGGGGGGCGAATAGGCCTCCGGTAACCTCATTCACACGAAATCGAAACACAACGCAAGCGTTGTTTCACGTTCTACTTCTGTGAGGCCGTAGTATCACTTCGGTCGAGCCGGCCCACAAAAATGTATTATAATAAATTATCGCTTACAATTTTCCTATGCTTCATGCAATTTTACACCCTCTTATGAACACAATAAGAATGGTTTGTGATAAACTTACCATTTCCTTATTAGCAGTAGCTTTGTCCAGCACCTCATCTAGCCAGTCCCACTGTTTCTTCGCCTGTATGCTGTTCGAATCTCGGACACTGAACAGATTTGTGTTGAGAGCTACTATCCGAAGCTTGCTTTGTTTCTGTTCTATGGTGTAATATCCACCTGTGGACAAATACGACAAACATTGAGTCACCTGTAACCGCCCACTAACTTCATTACATAACATAACATCACGCCTTTTTATCCCCGAAGGGGTGGGCAGAGGTGCACATTATACCACTGTACAATGTAACACCCACTTTTCACTATTTATGTTATGAGTCCCATGTAATAGGGGGTGAGCCTATTGCCATATACCGGGCACAATTCCAGACTCCGTGCTACTACTGAGAATATTTAAAAACCCAGTAATACTTTGCCCGACCCGGGAATCGAACCCGAGACCCCTTGTCCGGCAGTCGCACTTACGACCACTCGGCCAACGAGGCAGTCACTTCATTATACACCTTATTTCCAAAATTTAGAGACTAATTTTGTATGAACTAATTTTCAGTACGATATATCAACGAACGTTAATTTTATTTGAACTAAAATTGAATTAAAAATTTAGAGAATGCTAGACTAATTCTTGCAGAGACAGATATAGAATAGTGAGTCACATAGGTATGTATTCTCATTCAAATTATATCCTTCTGAATGTACCACCATATTAAACCTTGATTGCTACTAGTAATGACGAATATTTAACCTATTCGAGACCTATTAAGAACTTAATTACGCTTTAACAATATCACTTATTAGGGGCAAATTAACCTTCAATTTTCCATAACTATTTGACCTATAAATCTATTTAAAATCATCACTACATTACAAGTTCCTTATTCTACATGTTCATATCAAATTCACTAGGAAATTATTCGAGCATTACTGAATATAAATCGACTCTCGAATCAAGTAGCGCACGAGGATAATGTACAAAGCGGGCTACAAAAACGTCGACTACGCAGTTTCGTTCGCCGAACTTGGTGTTTCTTATTTTCTGTCGACTTCAAGAAACTTTAAAGTTTTATAAAGCGGACTAGCAGTAACTTAGAACTGATGGCAGGAAAGTTAGGCGTTGTAGTTGAAAGACATCAAAACAATCACCATATTTGAAACTCTGCTGCGCTTCCGACGTCGGCGTCGACGCGACGGTGCGCCCAGAATAAAGCATTCTGATTTGCTAAGATTACTCTGCTTGAAGTCTTATTTTGTGATTTTACTTGTTTCAAAATTAGTTTTTGAACCTGTGATGTCATCTTTGAGTTTCTCTAAACTATTTTATTACTATCACTACAAGTATCGAAAAGCAAAAATAACTATGACAACAAAATACATTCTATTATAAGTGAACTGTTGCCAAATCATATCTAGTTACTTTAAAGAATGATAAAACGATACATACCAAATTTGAAGGTCTGCAAAGCTTCCAAAGGTAGCCAGTGCATCCATAAATTAGTAAGGCTCTCGGACGGCGCGGGGTCCAAGTGACCCAGCACTGGGAACACAAAGTGTGAACTGAATGTTCTACTTAGAAGGTCTGTCATATTTCTTATAGCTTGGATCTTGTCATCTTCATTGCCCGTGTATCGAGCTGCTATGATGTCACTGGAACAAAATGATTGCGTTAGTATTTTTTGAGTGCTCTGTGTCTGGAGAAATTGGGTTTGATTTCACCGTCATACGAAAAACTTTGATTTAAAAATAATATTATGTTTAGTAACATGGATATTTTGTTTTACAAAACTGAATTTGTGGATCAAAATCTTATGAAATGAACTTCAACTACAAGTACAAGTGGAATTGAAGAATTAACAACGAGTTGACTACAGTCATGTAATAAAAATAAAATATTCTTACCCCGTCCAAAGCACGAACTCAACATTCTCAGAATGTCGTGTGCGCATGTACCGCGCGGCTGACTCGATCAACTCGAGTGAGCTGTCGCAGGAATAGTCTCCGAAGCGACCCAATGCTCTATGGTGGCCTGAACTCCCTCGTTCGTCTGCTCGGCGACAATCTACAACAAAGAAGTGTTAAAAGATTCTTTCATGGTGCTGGTGGCAGTTTGGTGGTGTGTAGGACATTCCGTGCTGAGGACATCTTAGTCTACGAAAGTCTAAAAGACTCTTCAGGAATTTGGATATCCCAAAAACGATACTTCTATTATTTCCTCTAGAGGGTTTAACAGACGACCATTTTGCACAAATAAATATTTTAAACCTTTCCGAAAAATATTTAGACTTTTCATGATGTTAACATTCAAAAACTGTAGTAACTCCTTTCATCAGGTAGATCGTAAGAATGATTGTCACCTTAGCGACAAAACCTTTCTGAGTTGTCACCATACAGCTCTTGTTACGCCATCATCTGAGAACCAATTTCGCTCAATATCTGTAATACTTTTTTATATATTGACTTTATTTGAATTCCCTAAATTTATCTTATTCCATATTGACATAAGATAGAGGAAAATGCCGTATGGAAACCTTGATAAATCGCTTACACGTGTCTAGAGTTTTATTTTACTTCTACCAGGGTTGGCCATCAGCCATTTTTGACTGCATTTGCCATTTCGAAGGTTTTTTGCACATGATTGTGACATAAACATCGTAGCACATTTTGAGGATTGCATAGATAATCGTTTTAAAGGGGGAAATATTTTCTTTTGAAGTCCTGTAGAATACAATAAAGGCATCACAATATCTTTACTAAAAGACAAATGTACTTCGCATCCATCTTCCGCTTTGTGTCTCAGCACCAATCGATTCTCAATCAATCATATCAATACTCATACCTCAAATGCATCGAAACTGCATACATATACAGGGTTCCAGGTATTTGTTTGTACATACGGCGATTGGACGCGCTAATTAAACCGATGGTCTGCATACAAATTACTGGAGTCTGACAAGCAAACCGAAGTTGGCCGTCCAAATTGGAAACAATTCGTTTACTGTGGCCAACCAGGATAGTCTGACCATACACTAAATTTCCTGTGGTTTCAATTGCCTATTTATTTAGATTGTAATAGGTTCTAGTGTAATAATTAGGATGTGTAAATCATTTGAATGGTTCTAAGTTAATGTTGAGTCTGAGTTAGAACCACTGACCAACTGTTGATAGGGGTGAACTAGGTCTTTTTTAAGGGGGTTAAAAATATCGAATGTCTTCTCTCGCCTGGGTGAGGTGGAAGGGAGTGTCAGACTCTTACTGACTAAAAACCACCCCGTTCCTACTCCTGCTTTTCGAGCCCCGACAACCCGTTAAGTCCTCCGCGGCTCCGTATCCGTATCGGAACTAGGTCTATAATGGTACTTGCATTTAAGATATTGCATCTAAAATCTAAGTTTATTTAAATTTGAAGACTAATGTGGCGCCACTCTATCGGTTTTGTACTGTTCCTACAATAATTGTTTTTATAAGAATAATTTAATAATATCACGTTACAACAAAAAGACAGAGACCATTCAACATTCATGAGATCAAGTAATTATTTTCGACAACCAAAGAGATTACACAACACTTAGGTCAATTGACTCATCACAGAATCAAGTAAAATAGTTATGCGAAAGTTTGCGACTTACGATTAAACCAGTGCGGTTACCCTGAACTACCGTTCGCAGTAAAAGTTAACTGAGGTTAACGTCGTCGTTGAAGTTACTTGGCTGAACTTAGAAATAGTTAACATTTTATACCTACGTCTTCTAGTGTCGCCTTGTGATGTGTAGAGGGGATCATAATGGAAGTCTGTTATGTGCCAGAAGTATCCTGTAACAATGAGAAAAAAATCGATTAGTCACTTATCATAAAGAAATTGTTTTTCAATTGTGTGATAGAGAGGCAAGTAATTAGTCCAGTGCACGGACCGCCTGTAACACTAGATCAGTTATAATGATTCTCCAAAAAAGGCTCGTTTAAAAAATTGCGATGCGATGCGATGCGATTTCCTGCGACAAGGCGTTTCTCTTATAAATCGAAATCGCATCGCAGAAATTCGTATCGTAATTTTTTGCGTTGCGAATTCGCATCGCATCGCATCGCAGATTTGTGTATACGCCCTTTAGTGCGTCTATTCGTCACGTAGAAGTTGTGCTGTTCAAAATCCCACTTACAGAAAGTTAATAATTTTTTACTCTACTTTTCCTAGGAAGCAGCATAGACCGTGTATAGTAACAAAAAATAATGTTTAATATATTGAACAAAAAATATTGCATCTTCCGAATTTTCAACACCACAAAGGCAAGAGATGAGCACCGTCCATCGAAATAAAAAAAGTAATGAATAAACTTCCTAATTTAAATTACACAAGATAATACTAAAAGAATCTAATCAAACACGCAATGTTGCTTCAATTAGGCCTTTAATATAACCAGGAAAAAAGTACTCAAGTTTTTTCCCGTTCGTCTCGGGAGATCACCAAAAAGAAAATCATGTTGTAGTAATACGTCTGAATTTATCAGCAAACGAGTGAGACGAGCAAAAACATCTGATTAATGGGGGACCGAGTCAACTGATGAACATGTTTCGTATTCAAACGTGTTGCGTGTATGGGAGGCTATTGGTGTTGGGAGAGAATTTATTTTCGAAAGTAAATTGAGATGAGAATTTGTTAAAATACGTAGTTATATTTTAGTATTTATTAATATGTTAGGTCTATGGTATGACCTGAATTCTTTATTTCGTCCCATTTGATACTTATTCTATGAACTCTGTTTCATCTTAAAAATGTTGATAATGCATAAGTTAAAAGAGTACAATGACATACCCAAATAGCATCCGCCAACAAAGTAACTAATTGTTCAGAAACTACTATCTACTAATATAGAACCATGTCAAAGCGACCATAAACTGTAACTTAACCGAACAGCTTCCGAAATGTACACCTTGGTAATGTAACAAAGTTGTAAGTGCCAGTCATCGTAGCCAATAGCCAGCACTTACGAAGTTCATTATAAACTCCCGCTTGTTCGAGTCATGCTTCAAATACAGTATTGGTAGCGTATACGAACGTACGTGTAATGTGTTTATAGTCCACTATACGACGGTATATTGGTTATTGACTGCTTTGTTGTTCAAGTGGTCATAAGTGCGAGCGAGGAATATATACTCACTCGAACTTAACATATTTTTAAGGCATGAATCCAATCTCCGCCTTGGATGAAGCGAGAGCAAGTATCAGACTCTTACTGATAAAAAATACCCCGTTCCTGCTTCGAACTGGAGCCCCGGCAACCTATTAATTCTTCCGCGCGTCTGGACACGAACAAAATTCCTGACGTACGTCATGGAGTTCGGTCGTGTCTCTGATTTGTGGCAATAGATTATCCATTTACATGAAACTCGACCATAACTGGTGAAAAGTGGATTTTTTATGGCATAAGCCGGTAAACGAGCAGACGGATCACCTGATAGTAAGCAATCGGCGTCGCCCATGGACACCTGGAACACCAGAGGTGCGTTACCGGCCTTTTGGGGATTAGGAGTCTGAGGATCGTTGGGGATTCAGGAATTGGGGAGATTGGGGAAGGAGAGGGTAATTGGGCCTCCGGTAACCTCACTCACACGACGAAACACAACGCAAGCGTTGCTTCACGTCGGTTTTCTGTGAGGCCGTGGTACCACTCCGGTCAAGCCGGCCAATTCGTGCCGAAGCATGGCTCTCCCACACTTCTTTCTTTATAAGAACCTACCCTTTCAAGAACTGAACGACATGACATTATATACCTTAGACTCCACGTAACAAATATAAAGGTAACATTAAAATAATCGATTTACTTGGTAAGTTTCTCGAAGTTACCCTGATCATTTACAGCGCATCTTGATAAAGCTATCACAGTAGTAACAGTTTGTCGAGAATAATTTGCTCGCTTCTCCTTGTGAAACTGAGGTTATCGGGTACCGATCGCTTTTTTATTCCCATTTTTCTAAGGCCTAATTTTCAATTGCTTTGTATAAAGGAAAGGAGAATTTTAGCAACCTTATAATGCTTTTATGTAAATAAATATTGTCAATGTGTTAATGATGCATAGGTTTTTTTTTGAAGAGGGGAAATCATACAATGACTTCTCCCGCCTTGAGAGAGGGAGTGTCAGACTCTTACTGACTAAAAACCCCCCATTTCCAACCCTGTTCTTTAAGCCGAATGATGCATATGTAGGTTAATTGAAAAATAAGATAACATATATTGATTTTCAACGTGCTAAACCTAACTTTGAAAGGATTGAGTTTATACTTAGTCAACTTATAAGGTATTTAAAATAAGCCTCGAATTAGACTATTGTGAAACACCGAAATTGAAATTTTTTATTACTGTTTGTTCATTTTCACGGTCATCATCAGGATTTTTGCCTGGAAACGTCTACTGGCGAATAGTCTTCATCTAAAGAAAGGATTTCGTTTTGTTTACATTTTATTATTACGTACATTGTTTATTTTATTGAATTAAAAATGGCATGTGTAATGATGTAACGATAACTACAAAGTTGTTTAAAAATTGAGCTATCCATTATACATTTGAATACAATTATGTATCAAAACAATAGTATTACTATGACCCATTTGCAGAAGTCTAGGGCATTCGGCCTAGTTTACATTAGCGTTAATTTTAATGTGATTGAGCACAGAAACGTAATTAGTATGAAGTCAGATGTTAACCTTGATATAAATTATAATTATTAAACAACTAGCTTCACTTATAAATTTTTGTTGTTTGACGTTCAAAAGTGCCATCCTGGTCTAATTGAAATAAATGATTTTGACTTTGACTTTGAATGGGATACTACTTTTGTGACACTGTTTTGCCAACTACTCTTTCTATAATTGAAAATCAAATCATAAACCACAATAACCTTTTGCACGACCTTAGAAAATGAATTCCAAATGTCGTGTGTAGTGGGACTGTATAAAAAGAAGAGAAAATATGTAATAATAGTCTATGCAACTGTTACTTACATTATGTATTATCTAGCTTAGGTACTATTACGAACAACACATTATATCTATGCACAGGTGCTTTCAAATAATAAAGCAATAAAACAGATCAAAATGTTTTGGAAATCTACACACGTACGACTAAAAAAACGAATCCAGCACACAAAACGCAATATTTTTCTTTACATCCGAGCAATGTCCCACGAGACACGAGTTGGCAAATCTCGCTGAATTCAACTCGCGAAATAAATTAGACAAGCGATTTGTACTTCTAGCGGATTAAATTGTCTTCATTTATTAGCCCACCCCAGAGGCAGTGGGTTTCGTTAATTTGTTATATTTTAATGTATTCTGTTTCAAGTTTTCTTTTCTATTTTAATGGTGAAATGTAGTGGCCATTTTTCATTGGTTTAAGCTCGTGGAAACAGATGCTTTGTGCGAAAATGAGTTTGTTTATAGCGTTTTTTTTTTAAGTGTGTAATTGTATTGTTTTTTATTTGTTTCGAGATGTATACCGACTGTTTGTATTTTTATTCTTAGTAAATTTAATTTTTAAGGTTGACTATCCTGTTTACGTTATTCATGTTTATTTATTTATTTTAACTTTATTTTAGCGACCTATGGCCCATCGATACATACCTTAGACTAGCATAAATACTTCAATATACAATTGGTGTTATTAAATAATATAATGAATGAATCAATTTATGAAGAGATAAATACTAAAGAGTAACGATAGGCCTTGCATGAAGATTGAAATCTATCTATTATCTAGTAAATATTGAATTGTATAATTTAATCATAACCAGTTGTATAATTGGTTATGATTAAATTATACTTAATCTTATAAAACCATACTTGTTTACGGTTTTGGACATATTTAAGCAAAGTACAACAACGAAGAAAAACAACGATGTATTAAAATTTATGCAAAAAGGTGTCGTGATTTCATTTGGTTAACATCTTACTATTTTACGAAACACTTAATACCGATAGACTGTCGCACAAACAATAAATAATAACATAAGAAACGATAATAGTCCTGGAATCTTTCCAAATATCAACAATATAAATGTTACGTAAGAATCCGTTACTCAATAAAAGTGTTTTTCTGACATGTCATTGTTACTAGTGAGATTTATTCTACGTTCATATTATTTATATTTTTTGGACAAAAATATCCAAAAAATAAGTCATGAAGAGATATAGAGAAAAATGAGTATTACGTATAAGTAATGGGTAGCCTACAGATAACGTTAGGTTGTGGATAAATCAAGACTTGTCTAAGTTAGAACGCTTTGGATGTCCCTTTGGATAATAATAAATTACAAACATTACATTAAGGATTTATAGCAAAATATCCTGTTAGAAAAATTGGTCAATGGATTTGTTTCAGTGTTATTCTTTCTCAGAATAGTTATTTATTATTTTTAGTATCTTAATTTGTGTATTTGAAAAATGATTTAAGTGTGAGAGAGCCATGCTTCGGCATGAATATTCCGGCTCGACCGGAGTGATGTCACGGCCTCACAAAAAACCGACGTGAAACAACGCTTGCGTTGTGTTTCGTCGTGTGACTGAGATTACCGGAGGCCCAATTATCCCCCCCCCCGCTCTCCCTTCCGACAACAACAAATTTAACAATCCTCAAATTCCTAATGCCAAAAGGCCGGTAACGCACTTGTAACACCTCTGTTGTTCCAAGTGTCCATGGGCGACATCGATTGCTTATCATCAGGTGATCCGTCTGCTTGTTTACCGGCTTATGAAATTGTATAATAGTTTTACGCAAGATTTGCTAAACCAAATTAGATAAACTTGTTGGCAGATACATTGAA